TTTCTGGCCATGGCAAGCAATGTTTTAGGCTGGGTTGACCCCACCGGCCAGCTGGTGAGTTGCATATGAGCCAGAAGCCTAAACAAGCTCTTAAAGTTTGCAGTCCCGGCTCAGATCTTCATGTGGTTGTGCTGGGAGGCAGAAAGGTGACTCTGTGAACCAGTACAGCTGCTAACACGTTTCTAATGTGAAACCGCAGTTTTGCAAACTTCAGTAGTTGAACTGTGTGTCCCTACTTTGAGCAAAGGCCTTGTCACACATCCTTAGATTTGTTTCTCATCCTCTCCTACCAGACAAATGTGAGCCTGCTGGGGATATCCCATTTCTTAGAAAAGAGGTAGACTCAGTGCTACTCAGTCAAAGCTTGGACTTGAATAAGTCCACTTATTCAGTTAGTGACTATTTTCACATGACAGATCTTAACTTAATGTAAAGCCTATCTTAACCGATACTATAAGTTTTCAACTACTGCTTCTAAGGCATCCCCCAAACTGACTCTTGAAAGTTGGCCATGCAGTAACTCCTTTAAAAGTGCAGAAGCTCTTGAACTACATCTTTAAAGGAGGTTGCGCTCTGCATACAAAATGTTCAAAAGACTGTGGAGGCATCTACAAATCAAAATGTTCAAAATGTAGAGGTATTTGACACAGCAAATCCCTAAAAGGTGCAGGTGAAGCACCTCACAAGGTGGGAGGGGCATAGTTATGTCTATTAAATTTAGATCCTGATAGAATACTTGTTGCCCAGAATAACTTGTGTGCCCAGAATAACTTGTTGGTCATGGAAACCATAACTTTATAGATCTTGCAAACAATTAAAAGAAATGAGAAGGGGAAACAATATTTGTAACAATAAACTCTTTAGTGCAATATCATTATAATGTCAAGTTAGAGAAGGAGTAAGCATCTATATTATGTATAACCAGATTACTGTTAAGCTAATGTGGTTTAAAACATAYGTGCAGGGACATTTGAACAATGACAGGACAAGAAAAGAGTTTCACAATTACATCAGCTTTTCAAACTGAACTGTTAACTATCATTCACAGCACAACAAACCAGCAAGTGACTAAACATTACAAAATAATTACGATAGGGTTCTTCCCATTATATTTTTCAAAGACAACAAGACAAACTCTTGYCTGTTGTGACACATGCGAAGTCAGCAGAGATGGTTCATACCTAGGGGACTGTGCACTCTTCGGTGCTCCCAATGCTTAGGATGTGGCACGTGCCCCTTCCCTCCTCCTCACAGGCTCTACAGCTCAGGGTTTGGTTCCTCCTAACATCCCACCTCCACCTTTCCTGATTCTTATTTTTCAGTGTGGGTAAGCCTGCAGTGCCCTGTCTGCACTCTATGTCCAGGAATATGATGACCCTCTATATAGAGGTCATCATATGAGGACTCTCATATAGATGACCCTCTTGGTCATCTAAAGGTGCTGTTTAACTCTGCTTCCTCCAGTCAGTCCTGCTGCACTCTGAGGCACAAAAGCAGCTTCTTTTGGTCTCAGCACTTCAAATTTCTGCTGCAGGAAAGCAGCAGAGTGGAGGTGGTGCTTGGTGGGTATCAGGCCAGAAGCTTTTAAAGACTGGGAGCAACTCACCCCGCACGTCTCCAGAAAGCACAGACCAGAAAGCACAGATGGTAAAAAAGCCACTAGCCCTGCCCGGTATTCTGAGAAACACCCATCTTCCATTTCATGCTCTGTTTTACATCGTACCAGTATGGTTCTGCCACTGGTGCTGACATTCTGGAGTTGAGTATGTGTAAGATTCAAAGATGACTACGCCACATCCCGGGGGACAAGGGCAGAAAAAGCCTTAGCTGGAGCACAGGGTTTTACATGGCCTAGCTACCAAAATGATTTGACTTTCTTATCATCAAAATATAGACAGATCTTACTGAACACTAGAGTTATAGCTAAATATGTGTTTCAGAAGTGGCAGAAAATATTGCACTTGGAATACAGCATTTTTTAACTTGATTGTGAATTTACCAAGAAAAAAAAATGCAGGGTTTCTTTTCCTACCTTCTCCTTAACCCCTACAGGCTGTGATATTGTATGTGCAAATTCAAATTAACACTTCTCCCATCTGGATATCTGTATATTTAAATTGGAGGCTCGGAATAACATTTTTCTTTTCAGAAGAAACACTTTTGAGAAGCTACCATGTTTGAAGAACAAGGGGTTGAGCTGCTGACCACGTTAGTGCCTGGCTAGGAAAACCACAGCCAATACTCAAGGCATTTTGTCAACTCCTTTTCACATACAGATTTCATAGCTCGGRGAGCAATTGGTATCTTTGTAGGCAAGGCAAGCGAGCTGATGTGTCTTTGTAACTTCATTACATCCCTGTTTTCAGCATAGGTGTGACACCCCAACTCTGCCTTGGTACTCGTGTGGGGCAAAAGCTCCCTTGCCGGCTTCATCTCCAAGGACACCCATCGTGCCTGCAACTGCGGCAGAGGAAAGCATCACGCCGGGCCTGGCCTRCACTGCTGTTCGGAAGTACTTCTTTTATTTATTTTTTTGTGAAAGCCGGCACCTCCACCTTCCCYGCTTCACACCAGGCAGATACAGTTTAACCTGCCTACAAATGTGTTATCTGGCTGCGGCACGCGCGCGCTCACTAGTCTCTATTTTCAGCTACTGAAACACGATGGCAGCGAAGCTCTCAAAACCAACAGCCCTAGCAGGTAGACCCCAGTCCCTTCTCCTTCCCCCCTGCGCCTTTCCACGGCTTCCCCACGCCTCCTTCCCCCGCACTAGGGTAGGCGTTGGAGAGGAAGCACCGCTGCACATTTCCCAAGCAGATTTCCTGCCAGAAATCCACCGGGCGAACAAAACCAGCTGCTCCTCGGCCTCCTCCTCGCGCTGGCCGGCGCCCCCGCGCCTCGGAGGTGGGAGGAAGCCGCCTCGGGGCTCCTGCTCCCCCGCTCCTGCCCTGCTCCCTGGCTCGCGCTGCGTTGGCGCAAGGGCCAGGAAGCGGCTCCCTTTGCTTTGCTCAGAGGCAGAGAAGCCTCAGAAGTGAGTTGGATCGGCTTGAAAGCAAACCTTCCCCCCAACAGCTTCCCCTGAGCATCCCTCCAAGCTTGCACACACATTCCCAAGGAGCCTTGGAGTTGTTTCTTCCCAGCCTCAGCCTCGCAGAGGCTGCTCAGRCCTCCTCGGCACGCGAGGCTGCGGCGGGGCCAGCGCTCCCCGAGGCACCAGGAGCAGCGCGAGGAGGAGCGCGTGCAGGAGCGCGCCCCGCTCCCGTGTGGGGTGGCCGGCGCGGGCCACGCTGCGGTCTCGGCCGGGGGCCATGTGGCCGCTCGGGCTTGCTGACACGATGGCGGGTGCTGAGGGCGAGCCCCGCCGCAGGCCCGAGCCCCGCYGGAGGAGCGTTTCTGCGTGCTGGAGGTGTGAAGGCTCCCGGCAAGCGCAGTCGAGAGCGGCTCTGCAGGAAGCCACACGCGCGCCAGACAGCAGAGAGCAGCCAGAGAACCCGGGCCCTGCAGCACAGCGGCATTGCAGGACAGCCCGTTCCCCCATCCTGGGCAGCTCTGCAGCRCATCGTCACGCTCGCACCTAACATGTCATCCCAGCCAGCACCAGTGCCTGGTCCTCGCTGCTGTGAACCAGCACCTCTCCCGCTTGCAATGCTGAAAAAGATTAGATGCCGAATCCATGGTTTGCTGCCGTCCTTTCCTCTGCACGAGCTGCAGAGAGCCGACACACGCACGCGGATACTGTCCGCCCGCACGAGCTTTCGGGAGCAGCTCTGCGCCTGCAGCCGCGTCTCGCGTGCCGTCGGGAAGCGGCAATGTGGACACCACATGCAGCGGGGGAAGAGGAAGCGTCTTGGTGTTGGCATCACTGCATGTACATGTTATATATGTTCCAGGGAGCTGCTATATGGTATGCTCTGTAGCTTTGTTCTACTCACAATAGGCAAAAGATGTAGCAGGAGGAGGAGTTTGAGAGATATGTCTTGCTTTTCTGTACACTGGTTTTTACATAACATGGCACTTGGTAGGGCTGGTTCTTTACCCTCCTCTGCTCCCAGAGATATGTGCAGCAGGGCAGTGTCATCTCACAGTAGCTAACTTCAGAAGAATCAGCCCTGTAAACTATTTCTTCACTTCAGATTTTCTCCTAACTACAGATATATAACTGGTTTGCTTGTGCGTGGGAAAGGAATTATTTTAGTAGCACWGATATATACTACTCTTACAGTTAATGTGCCAATCAAAAAGTAAAGTTTTGAAAGAAAAGTTTGTGGGTTATCTGATTTTTGGGTTTGACTTTTTTTCCCCCCAAAAATGAAAGCATCTGATGGCTGATTAGTTTCTGCCACAGGTGGTGAAACCCATTCCTCCTATCCCAGCTTCCCATGTGTTCTGGCSTTGGCTCATGGTCCTCCTTCGTGCCTTGAACTTCTGATTGGTGTTGGTGTTCACAGAGCTCTTCACCAAACCATTTTAATTCAATGAGCCAACAGGGAATCCTTTGTGATTTTCTCTGGGTTAATTTTCTGCTGAGCTGAATCACAGAAGCGTCGGAGGAGCAGGCTTGGAATGTAGGAAAGGTAAAAATGAAGGGAACAGGACACCTTCCTGATGATGAAGGTCAGCTCAGCTGCATCATCTAACTTCCTCTAATAAAAATATTTTAAAGAGTATAATTCATACTACATACTTTTTCAAACATACTTGCTTGCTCATGGTCCTCTGCAGACTCTTACATCTGATCAAGGTGTTTGCTGATTTTCTTGAATTCTGGTAATTATTTAATAAAGACTATCTTAGACTGTTTGATATATGTATTATTGTCAGCATGCCAACCTCGTGAGCAGCATATCCAACAGGAACCTGCCTCTGAAGTCTTCYGCTTATGTCAAGGGGCACCAACTGCCAAGCACTGAAGTTACTGCTTATCATATACTGTCACTGTGCTCTCTGCTTGGACAAGCCTGAAATGTTGAGCTAAAACACTTGGAGGCATCTTTAAAAAAATGAAACAATCAAGCCCATCAACAGTTTATCTATATGTTTGTTAATATAACGGGACTCAAGCCAGAATAGGGTACAGTGAAAAGACCATATGTCTTCAGAAGAATTTCCTTTGGACCACACACAGGAACGTCGGTTTAGCAGATTATTTGATTAAAGGAGCTAAGATTCTGTATTTAATTTATTCCTGGCCTATTGCATGTTTCATTATATACAAATGTTCAAAAGTTTTCTGGGGTCAAAGGGAAAGATTTTGCTGTTTTGGTCTATCCACTCTTGCTTTAAGCCACTGGAAGAGGCACATTCACTTCGATGGGGTTTCAAATCAGCTTCTGAGAGATTGCTGGTTTTACTGGGCAAACTGTGTAGTGATAATTTAAGATACCTGAAAAGGTTGCTTCTTTTAGTCTTGTTGCCACCAACTGGTGTTCACATGAAGTTCCCGGCTATATCATAACATATATAATGCTTTGAGTCTAGTCTAATGATGGCATGGCTGTACGTAGAGCACTGCTTAACTCTTGCTCCGGCCCTGGGCAAAGGGGCTGCTGTGCATTCAGGAGTGGGGAACCCACAGCAGAGCTAGCTGAAAGGCAAGCAGAGAGGTGGGAAGGATCAAATTCATGGCAGAAGCAAATACTCCACAAATCATCAAGAGACTAACTGGATGGCCACAAAGAGATTTTTGTCAAGGGTTTTATACAGCTAAAAATCAATTCMTTCACTTCATCTGTTTTGAACATACTGAGGATGCAGCTAAAGATGTCACAAATGGTTAGAGTTGCCTGGAAACCTTCAAGGTGTCAATTGACCATATTTTTAGGCGCAGGAATGTTACATGGACACACCACAATTTCACCAGTGATTTCTTTAAAAAACAAATGGAGTCAGAAATCTACAAGGGAATAAAAATATCAGGAGAGTGAAGCTGAGTTGAAGCAGGGTAACTCAAAATCAATATTTTGCTTTTAAACTCTTAAGGGGAGGCCCAGGAGGGCTGCACTCATTTTGTCCTCCTTACTTATTTTCCTCAGAGGATTGGCTGAGAAGTGACAAGGCTGCTCCATACTCGCGGCCAGGACATTCCTCACTAACAAGCCACTTGTTAGAATATTCAGCCGCCGCTTTCCTTCCTCGCGCCGAGCTTTCACTTAACGGTATCAGAGGATGGTAATGTCAAGCTTGAAACAAGAAGGAAACAGGAATATCTGAGCTCAGCTGACCCTACAAGGGTTATTGGCTAAGGTTTAAGTGAGGAAAGAGGTTCCTTTCCTTTGTATATGCACAAGTTGAGTACTCCCATGGCCACATACACTTAAGCTTGGTGCCAGGCATAAAAAAAAAMCCATCGTTGAATCTCCAGCATCTCTGGTATGAACCCTACAGTTTGCATTCAGATGCAAAGACTTGTGTATGTCCAACAAAGCTAGATAAAAGACTAAGAAACTTCTGGGGTGCCTTTTTTTTTTTGTAGTTCTTGTAAAAATACATGGTCAAGAATGAGTACAAACACATAGGCCGAAGACTCTTTGGTTCTTAACTCTCAAAATGGCCCTTTAGGGCCTCATACACCTGGTCCACAAAGCACAGAGACACCTTCAGAGACAGAAGACAAGCAGAGCACATGGGTCCACAGAATGACCCAGTACCAGACTTTTAAAACAATTTGACTCAAATTCTTCTAAGGCGATGGGAACTAAATGCCCCGGGACATTCAAAGCTCTGCATCTTAGTTCCTATGAAAAAGTCTAGTGAGCCCTTAGCTGTCACTTTGGGATTTCGGTGAACCAATAAATCAGAGTCAACACAAGTTTAGGATGGAAGTGCCATGACCCTTGTCTCAGCTTTACTTGGTTCATAGGTATTCATGTCAACAGGAGCTTTGCTCTGGGTTTCCAGATTACCTCTGGAGGAAATTTCTAGTGCAAATCTTAGTGAACCCTGGGCCTAGAGACCAACATCAAAGTCAGATGAGAAGGCCAGCTAGAGTCACAGGCATCACTGGCTTCCCATCTCCCTGCCTCACGTGCAACAAGAGTTTCAAATACATGTAAAGGACTGAGTACCTGCAGACCTTTAGGAAGGATGGGAGTTTCTTGGCACAGCTGAAGTCAAGAGCTACGGATTCACCATCCTGACAAATTCTCCTGGAGCAGCAGCTGCCCAGCAGGCGAGTGAGGGTGTGTGTTACCCACCTGGAGGGTGGCTGGCTCTGACAGCTCACGCTGATGATCAGAGCCCGTGGCCTTCCCCTGCTTGCCGTCACCTGGATATGAAGGGGTGCTGTGGGAGCCGGCCCTATCTGCAACAAAAACAAATGCAAATCAGCCTAGTTTTGCACGTTTGCCCARTGAGTTCTTACCCCAGCAGGGCTGCTTACTGGAGATTTTCAACATCCAGTCCGAGACAGTCCTTTGTGATCAATACTGTTAGTATCAGGCTTTGCTGCAGGATGAGGTTGCTTGCTGCTTATGAGAAAATTTGCATTAAAGCTCTTCTCAGAGGAGTGCAAAAAAAGTCTTCATTTCTTCCCCCATTTTTTGTTCTCCTTTTTTTTCTTCCTACACATTTTCTACTTGTTTTCTAAATGTTACTTCTTTTGCTGGTTGTAGAGATCTGTAAGATGCTAAATCACCCCAGAGCCTGCAAGACGTGATGCAAAGCTTCATTTTGTTTTATTCCAGTTTCATGCCTGTCAGTGACATTAAAGTGGACTATGCATTGGTTGATGAGACTTTAGATATCCCAGAGAGGACAGATGTGTGCGCCAGTGGCACCTCATTAAGTCGTTTGTTTAAAACCCCCAAACAATCCACTTTCATGCAGATGGAAATCCCAGCCTCCTCCTTTTCACTTAGATGTGGATTCTCCCCCAGCAGATATGTATTGATCTGTTCAGTAAAAAAACTTTAAACCTCCCTAAAATTCTGGTCTTTGACTCTGCCCTAAAACTAATTTGAACTGTTCTCAGCTGATCTGGAGTTTAAGGAGATGGCTTTGAACTGGAAATACTTTATCTTTAAACAAGTAATTGTTGTTAATTAAACCAGTAAAGACACATTAGTCTCTGCTTACTTAAGTTTTAGCCTTGGATTTAGCCTATGGATTAACAGGAACCATGATTTCTGCTTAAATGAAGATGTTTGCATTGAATTGAACAATCCTAGAACCAATATCCTTTTCCTGTGAGCTCTGAAAAATAATTCTTGCAGCACAGACTGAAAATCTATTCTTTTGCACAAATAAAATGTTTCTAAAACTTTCTCTCTCAAAACAGAAATACARCTCCTCCACTTTCACAAATTATTTTAGCAGTAATAGAAAGAAAAGTCTTCAATCAGTTGGAAGGAGCAGAAAAAAAAATGTTTCCTGTTGCCATATGGAAATAAAAGGGCTATGTGTGGTTGTACACAGAAAATTCTCTCATTGGCACTCTTGAAAGTTGTGACCAACAATACTGCAGGTGCTGAAGTTAATGAAAGCTCGATATAAAATGGCGAAGAAACATTATTTGAAAGTGCAGGAAAAAAATATAATACATTTCACTTTGACTAAAAAAACTCCTGGTTGCCTCAGTGTTCACTTCCAGAAAGGCAATGATAATAGTGATGATTGCAATAGCAATGTTAACACACTGTATTACAAAATAACACTGCAGAGCCTACAAATGTCTGTGTTGGGACATGTTATGTGTTTGTGCATATACAGACATGCATGCTCACGTGCGCACACTCCTATATACACACATGTTTATAAATGCATATGCACTTACCAATGCCCAAAGTCYTTGCTCATGGCTTGAATTCACCCTGTCACAGCTCTATGTTAGCCTTTACCTGTGGTCAGCAATAGAAGACATCCACCGAGGTTGGATTTGGGTACTGTCTTGTGTCTCATCCTTTGCACCAGGGGAAAGCGAATGCCACTGCCAAACAGCAGCACCTAACACTCGCCTCGTGWCGGTCAAAACTGGCTATTGCGTGGTGTTAATGCACCGGGAATTGACTCCAAAGAAAGTTTGCCCGGTGGCTRTGAATTGGAGGAAACTCAATGGAACTTCATGGAATTGAAATATCATGTGGAAAGTCATGTTTTCATATTTTTGCTATATAGTTCAAATACATATAAAGACAACACATTTTACTATTTATTTTGGGGTTTCTTTCTTCTGTAGATTGCCCTTAAAATTAAAAAAAAAAAAAAAAAAAAACTGCTCTATACTGAGAATTAAAATATCCTTCCCCACTAAATAATCCATTTTCAAATTTTATCAAATATGGAAAAAAAAATCTAATTTCCTAAAACATTTTTTTCCCCCTACCACCTTTCTATCTTTCTTTGTAATGGTAGTTTAATGAAGAAATGAAGAAAGAAAAAGTGATTGTAGACCAGGTAAACCTGAAATACTTCTACTTTACAGAAGCTAGTAAGCTTTTTCAAGTTTTCTCTCAAGTTTTTATATCTTCATTCCTCACCAAACAATATATTTTTTTCTTTATTATACTTGCGACTAAAGCAAGGCAGGAAAGGTGCAGCATATTCGCTATGGAACGATTTACATGTAAGAAGTAGTAATGACGTTTCATGCATAATATTGAAAGTGAATATGATCTCCAAATATGACTTGTTCTTCAAGAATAAGCTAGTACCTCYTGAGGTATTGACTTAAAAGAATGGCAAAGATGGAGAAGAGTTATAAAGAAACATAAAATATTTTTTCCTCTGCAATGAAAATACTGTTTCCAGTAATCCACTGGAATTCCACTCATCCTAGATTTGCTAAAACAAAACTAGAACTACCAAAGAGCATTTTTTTTTCTATTTCACATTGGCTACGAAGGATGTGCAAGCTTAGGGGATGGTGGGGGAGGGAAAAGCAGGGGGGAATCAAAGCTTTAAAGTGCACAGACTGGCAACTACAGTTGAGCCCCTGACCTGTCACATCACACGGCTCCAGTCAGACGCGATGTGACAATGAAATTACACAGCACCCCTTGCAGCAGGCACCTTCACCCAGGACCTCGGCTCGCCCACACTCCACCTATAGCTATCATAGCAGTAGGGTGAGGGGGGGACAGAAACTCCCCCTCCCCAGCAAATCCTTAAAGTTATGCAAAAGAGAACAGCCTATTGGCTGAATTTAAACTGAATCTGAGGCACATATGTAGGTTTTACCTTTGTGGCTCAGAGAAAGAGGCAGCCAGGACTGCTTCAGAAAGAAATCATGGATCCCTCTCCTTTGGACTCCAGAGGTTTCGTGCTGAAAACAGAATTTATAAACTTCCTGGCAACGCTGATTACGCCATTCTCACTCAATAAAAACAATATTTTACTCCAGAGAAAAATCTCTTCCATCTTTAACTTAGGCTACAGTGTTGCATAGGGGTAAAACACTCAGACTGAAAAGCTCCTGAAGAGTAAGGGAGCCTTTGAATTCGCATTTGCCCTCAGCTGCTGCATATGAGCGTGAGGAGAGAGGGTGCACTGCCTCCTCTTTTTCTTCTCTTTTGTAGTTCTTGCATGTTTTATTTTAGCAAGAAAAGAAATCCCAGATGAAGAACAAATGCTAGGATAGCTCTCAATATTTGTCAAGGCTGCATTTTATAAACCAGCTTGAAATTTACTAGTATTTTTAATTCAAGTCTTTACTTCTTCACTGAGCGACTTTTAGAAAGTTTAGTTATAATTTGCTCTGAGTTACAAAAGACATCCCAAGTGGATTCTGTGTCCCTCAACCAAAGTTATTGCAGAGCTGCTGTTTAGTCATTTTAGCAAATATTATAATCCTCTCTTTAAATACAAGCAACTGGGGAATATATAAAKTTTCATCACAGTCCATGTAAAATCCAGAAATCTTTTCTGATTATGTTTCCTGCTTTACCCAACAAGCCATAGTTCATCCTTGGATGTAGACAGAAGTTGTTACTTTTTAAACTTAGCCCAAAAGCTTCTTTTTCTATTTGAGTTCATTCCTAGCCCTACATTCCTTTGCTCTTGTTTGCAGTATGCATATCCAGAGATCTTCCATTACTGACTTACTGCAAAAATCAACTGCGACGGTCATGCAAGGAAATAAAGCAAAAAACATGCATGGAACTGGTGAAATACCAAAATTATGTGAATTTTCTTCCTGTTCTGGAGCCCTCTGAAATCCATGGAATGAGTCCCTTTTGTCCAGATTATTAGCACAGTAAAAAATAAAGGTACAATTCTGCCTCTTGCAAGTGTATTTGAGGTGCAAATCTACCTCTTCTGAAGGGGTTCAATAACTATTGCCAACAAAACGAAATGTGGCACAATCACAAGGGATGCAAAACAGCCTAATAACGTGTACTGCAATGGGTCCAGCTAAGACTAGCACAAAAAGGCTGTTTCACGTACACTCTTGATGATGTCAAGCTTCTCATCTTGCCATACTTCCTTTGACACAGTTGGTGTGAGCACATGGAGTGCAGYGATGCTGCATGGGTCTGGCAGATACGAAGTCTCTCAGGTGCCCACTGGCCTTGCTGGAAGTGGGAGCTGAGGCCACCATGAGCTATTCTGTTCTTAATTTACCCTTTTTGTACCTGTGTGGCACTGCCCTGCAATAAGAAATGTATGTAGGGGGGGGTGACTTGTGTGCTTAAAACAGCATGTGTAAATTTTGTGATCATTTAAGGAAGAGAAAGATTGAATGAACCCTAAATAMACCATATCACAGGCTAAACAACTATGGATTAGGTTTATAGTCCCATTTTTCARAAGGTGACAAGGATTCACCTGTTTGAAAAAACAATAAACAGGTTAGGCTTCCAGCTTTCCCCTGTGGGAGCATTGCTATTCAAAAAGAAATTTTTAAAGATCTTAGGGAGATTAACATTAACGGGAATTAGGTAGTTGAATACCAACTTCTGAAGCCCCAAATCTCCAAAACATGTTAATTTCTGTAAGTGTAGAATGATATCTACAAAAATAGGTGAGGCAGCAGCAGCTCTGTGTTTTTCAGAAACTATAGATAACTTATTTTTTTTTCTACTGGCATCTTTACTATTCAGAATAATCACTATTTAGAGAAATGAAACACCAGATCCTTTTTCTTAACACAAGAGCAAGGAAATTTTTAATGTAATCAATAAACAAGTAATTAGGAAAACAAACTAAGGAGACCTTCTATTTTTCTTTAAGCTTACAGTCTTAATAATATAGTTAGTGGTTCTCTGTCACTACTAACACAGTATTAACATAAAAAAAGAATTAGATACTTACATGGTGATGGCCAATGTGA